GAGGAGACAAGGATAATAATAATAATGTGAACACAATTTGAAACCCAATCACTCTGGATAATAAGCCAATATTACCAGGGTAGGTTTAAGGTGAGAACAAACTGTTTTTGAATACACAAAAGGAGGTTTGCATTTTCGTATGGCTGAAGCTTCAATAAACCTTAGTATACACCCTTTTACACTTTTATATAACACCACAAAAGCCGAGTTAAGATCAATCTTATGGCCTGTTTCGATTATATGTTTAGCAATAGAGGATGATGAATGTGATTAGATGGTGGTTGGAGGTAGTCGACTGGAAACCCTGGACCCGGGTTTCGTGCTACTTGGCACTCGTCAGCAAGGTGTACCTGTAATCTTGAGGGAACTGATGCTCCCTGACGGATTCGGTCCCATGTCACCCAACTTCACAGTCAGAGTCACCTTGATTGGTGGTCACATTGCAACTTGGTCGACAGCATTCGATCTGCACTAATAAGGACTTGACACACATGACATTGATCACCACCTAGTGAGCAATCAATTGCGAGGATGATAGATGTTTATCCTCTACCCTTATTAGGTCACTTGATTCAATTTGTTTCTGCAACCATTTTGGTACATGTTCACACACCCTAATCCTGAGATCACGATTGCTCCTCCCTATGTATATGTGACCACATACATATTTAAACTGGTAAACATAGTGGGATGTGACGCAATCGTTTTCAGGTCTTTTAGTTTTTGGATGAAGTATACACCTTGTTCTTTCTTTGATAATGACCTTTGCTGCGCAATACGTTTTGTTGATGACTGACTTAAGCCTTTGTTTTAGTAAAGGCTATTTGAATCACCTCTGAATGGTAAGGTGATGTAGACAGGCTTTTTTTCTACCAAGGCTACACTCGGTCTCACTGTACCATAGACTTTCTATCCATTTATGAATTTCAGAGGATAGCCATTTTCCATTGATGTTTTATTTAGCAACTTAACATCGTCATCAATGGCGTCATTTGTACAAATTCGACCAAGCCTGTTGAATAGGAACCTTATTAAACCACATTTAATAATAATCAATGTCATGGGTTCATTTTAGAATGTACCCCTAAAGAACTCGATTGTTATTAGTAGTTCTTAATATTTATTTATTTTTAATTAATTAGTTGATTGTAGATTTATTTCATTCTAAAAATGATTTACGTCAAGAACTTAGATTAGTTCAAAAATCATAGATCAATAGGAACTGAATGGTCAGTCTGTCTTATTTTAGGACTCTTTACCAATGTATGACGTTGATCACATCAGGAACCGATGCCAGTACATTCAAATGTTGTGGTAAACGCAATAAATCTAGATTTATAAGTTAATATTCAATAACTGATCAATTTGAGTTATTATTTGAAGGTATTAAAGTGTACTACTGAAGGATTCATGAATAAAAGCTGTTGAAGAGTTTCATATTAGTCGACTAGTGTTGGCGAGACTATAATATATGGACGAACCAATTAGATTTAGGATAACAGGTCCTGGATTTTGAAGCGAAATTCATTCATCCATTTGGTTGAAAAGCGTTTTGGAATTCTAGCTAACGTCAGTTTGTAATGAAAAACCGTAAATGGAATTCCTTAGCCTAACCATCAACTGTGAATCATAATCCTTATTCTTCAAACTGCTTTATAATCCTCATTTAGCCCTAGTAAGTAGGTAGACACTATCAATGTCACTTCGGCATCCCTCAAAGGTCTCACTAACAAATCTTCTTATATTACGGTAAATTAAATAGTATGACATATAAAACTCTCTTGTATCATATATTAGACAAAAATTCATTGTTTATTCACCATTTGTATGTTTAGAACTTCCCGGTACATGTATATCTGTACAGTTTTTAAGATAACTGTCAAATTAAATGAACTTTTAGATCATCAAGTAAATTTCTGTTCACATATCTTGATGTTACATAAAGGAAATATCATACATTCAATCAGTGTATGAATCTATTTACGAATCATGAAGGTGAGACTATAATTTATGGACGACATTTGAATGACGTTAAAGTGGCCTTGAGAATATCCACCTACTAACTAGGACTAAATGAGGGTTTTAAACATGTGTGAAGGATAAGGATTGTGATTTACAGTTGATGGTTAGAGATAGGTATTAGATTTAGAATTTCCATCACAAACTGACATCATCTAAAATGCCAAGACGCTATTTATCCAAATAGATAAAGAATTTCTCTCCGAAATTCAAGATCTATTATCGTAAATCTGATTGGTTCATTCATAAATTATAGTCTCATCATCATGCAAAATTCAAAGAATAAAGTCTTATAGTATATTTATTTGTTATTACTTTCTTTTTTGTAAAAAAAAAGTCAAATCGAATGATTTTCATTTATACTTTAAATTACCTTAAGAATGCGTCTATAGCCTCTTGAACATTTTCTCCTGATTTCGCGCTTATTTCAAAAAATGTACCATCTAGATCCTAAACAATAAGATTTTCATTTATTAAACAAATAAATCGTAAATGTTAATTTGATAACATTTCATTACTTTAAATTAAGTAACTGTTAAGTAATTACATTAGTTGTAACTTCTCTGACTGTAAAACGTAATGATTTGTCATTGGTTGAAATCATGAGTCAATTGAAGCTAGACCACCATGGAAAACCAGGAAGCACTGGACGGCCGTTTCGTCCTAGTATGGGACTCCTCAGCAGTGATCATCCACAATCTCGCGCGAGACTGATAGGTCCTGGGTTCGAATCTCGCGGGGGGGCGGGATCGAGGATGAGCACTGTTGAGGAGTCCCATACTAGGACGAAACGGCCATCCAGTGCTTCCAGGTTTTCCATGGTGGTCTAGCTTCAATTGACTCATGATTTCAACCAGTGAAATCTCCACAAAACCTATACTGATAGTAATGATGTGTGTTCAATTCCTATTGGTAGCATCATTTACCCGAAGATTGTAAATATGCTCTAGTGACTAGTGCCAACTAGTATAGAGCCTAATTTAAGCAAGTAATTTCGACTTCAACTATATAACAAAATTACTATAAAATACACGTAAAAGGAACAGATTAGGGTTATTTATTTACCTACTGAATTGATTTTTCTATGTATTTTTCAACTTTAAATCGTGGCATTAGATTTCTTGTAGAAAAATATACGTACAGTGATGATAAACTTTAGTTGTATTCTACTATTCAATAATCATCTACTACACTGAAACATTTGTCAAATGTTTGCTAAACCTGTGTAATATGTTTTAGACTTGATAATTTCCCTCTTTTCTTGAGTAATTTAAAGTGTTTTTTCTTTACTTATTTCTTCTTACTTCTTATATGGATCATAAGTCTATATGCAAAGCTTTCAACTTTTCTTTGAGGTTAATTAGGAACTATACTATTGTATAGTGAAATTTCCTTGAAAATAATTAGTACAATTACGTTGTTCTGGTTAGCGCCTTTTTTTAGCAAAGTTAGAATATAATGTAACTATACTAATTATTTTAAGTGTTTATGAAATGAAAGCACTTCTACAGTTGAAGAATATATGGAATTCAAAACAACTGTCAATCAATATCAAAGTGAGAATTTTCAATATGAACGTCAAGACAATTTTACTATACGATCTGGAACTTGGAGAACTACCACAACCATCATCAAAAATAATTATTATAAATAATTGTCTAAGTAAGATACTGAATGTCCGTTGGCCGGATACCGTCAGCAACACCCTACTATGGAAGAGAACAAACCAACTTCCAGCTCAAGAGGAAATCAGGAAAAGATGTTGGAATTGAACATGGTGGATCTGATGCAGATGTGAAAGCGTGGATCGGCAAAACAACAGCACCATATCTACAACTGAAGAATATCTGAAATTCAAAACAATTGTCAACAAACACCAAGGCATGCATTTTCAATTCAAATGTCAAAACAGTTCTACTGTTTGGGGTGGATACTTGCAGAATTAGGAACATCATCATCCAGAACATACCACTATTTATTGACAACTGTCTACGTAAAATACTTCGGATCCGTTGACCAGACACCACACTATCAGCAACAATCTATTGTGGGAGAGAACAAAAGAGATTCGAGTTGAGGAGTAGGAAATCAGTAAGAAGTGCTGGAAGTAGATAGGACACACATTGAGGGAACCACTGGTCCGTGTCACAAGACAAGTCCTCATACGGAATCGTCAATGCCGAAGGAGGAGAAGGCGAAGACCAATGAACACATTACTTCGAGAAATGGAGATAGAAATGAGAGGAATGGAAAACGATTAAATAAAACTGGGACTGAAGGCCCAGGACGTAGTGGTTTGTAGAATGGTGGTCGGCAGTCTGTGCTTTTTTGGGAGTAACAGGCGTAAGCAAGTAAGTTGGAAATGGATAGGACACATATTGAGGAAATCATCGAACTACATTACGAAGCAAGCTCCAACTGGAAATCCTGAAGGGAAACGAAAAAGAGAAAGGCCAAAGAACACACTGCACCGAGAATCGGAAGCAAATATGAAAAGGATGAATAGCAACTTGAAAAAGCTGGAAAAGATTGCTCTTGCATGAGGGTTAATAGGTGTTAGTAAGTACAGTTACATTATGAAGTAAAGACTCTTGATTTTCTCGAGGTTGGATTCACAGTGGATGAACAATTAAGTTGTAACGCTTTCATTGTTTTTTGGAAAACAATATCATTACCATAAATTAATTCAACAGAACATTATTATTTTCAAGATGAAATCATTCGATTTAAACCAATATCTCTAAAAAATTAAACTGATAGATTTTCGGTTCGAACCTGACGAGGCAGGATCTTGGGTGTGCAGTGCTGAGGAGTCCTACAATAGGACAAAAGGCTTTCTAGTACTTCCAGGTTTTCCATGGTGGTTTAGCTTCAATTGACTCATGAATTCAGCAATTAAATAAAATATCCACAAAACTTCTCTCTGATTATAATCATCAAATCCTCACTAGTGACAGTCTCCAATAGGTATTTCCTGGAGTTCCACTGAGAAACAGTGACCAGTGGAGTTCAACCGGGTCAATTGTGAGATAGTAACTCATTGATGACAATGGTGAATGTGTTGCTCGATTCCATGGATTAGTTAAAGTTAGACATTAACACCGCTGAATGCCGGCTGGCTCAATGGTTGTGGTGGTCGGTATTTGATATAATCCTTAAACTTCGTATACTGTTCGTCGCGATAACCTTTCTATATAACGTACCAACGGTATATTAATCAGAAGGCAAATACGAAGTGTCGATTACGTTCATTGCGAAACCACACACATATATCCAAATGTACAGATGTGTTAAACAAGCATAGGAGAGTTGTGCCGAAAGGCAAGCAAGCGAACGAGAGCCAGAGCAAGAGCGTGACGAGACCGTGCGAGCGAGTGAGCGATTGTGTGTTCAATATGAATAACATGGACATATATATACCATGTGAAATGAATGAGTAATCGAATCGAATAAGCGGTTAGTGGTAAGATTAGCAGAGTGAATAAATGCGTAGGCAGTAATCAATATTCAAGCATACGTATTTCATACAAGCTCAAAATAATAATAAGGATACAATACATTGCTATAGCGCGGATGGCTTTGTCCGCTAAATAAGTTAACAAAAAGGGCTTAACTGGGTTAAATGAAAATAAACCCATTAACACGTGAGTCGCTATAATAGCTCCCCCCTGCAAACAAAGATATATGGAAAATGTCTGTGTTTGCATAAAAAAAATAGTAGACTGAATAGGGTAGAAAAAATGGCTTATACAAAATTAAGGTGAAGTTATTGTGTGCTGTACATTTGATTTGCGCCCGTCCGTGAGGTTACATAAAATAATAGCAAAAAATAGAAGGAAAGCGGTATTGTCTTTACATTTTAAACAAAAATTATACGCATAAGTGTAAAAGTACATAAGATACGTTGAGTTTTATAGCGTATAACATGAGCTTAATAATGCATGTGTATACAATGAGGTAGAAGTTATAATTAATATTCCAAATAGTAGATTATTATTAATAGAAAATTGTAGCGACATAATGCTGGGGTCATCTTACTCTGCGGCCGGATCTTGTTGTTATCGGAGTCTTGTCTTTTTGTTGAGTTAAAGTTGTTGATTTTTGGGACTCGTGTTTCGCTGGTATGACCATCTTAGAGGAGTCTGTACTTGTTGATTGAATATCGCTATCGATAAAAGCTGGCTTTACTCGATCGATGCTAATTACATCTGTCTTCCCAGTTTTCTCTATGGTAACCGTTTTATTTGTCCTCTCTACCACTTTAAATGGTCCGTCGTAACTCGGTTGAAGAGGTGGTTGTACTTTATCTCTTCTGATGAATACGTGAGAGCTGTTATGTAGTTCCTGTGGTATGAATACCCGTCGTTGTTGTGGTCTGGGAGGTGTTATTTTTAAATCGCTCATGTGCTTTCTCAGGCGTTGCACATAGCCGGTTACATCAGTCGGGACATTTTTACTTGAAGTGAAGAATTCTCCGGGTAATCGTAGAGTAGTTCCGTAAACTAACTCGGCTGGACAACATCCCATGTCTTGTTTAATTGTTGCTCTTAGGGCTAACATTACTAGGGGAAGTTTATTAGACCAATCGTTGTTAACGATGACGGCTGTAAGGGACGCTTTTAATTGCCTATGTAGGCGTTCAACCATTCCGTTTTCCATTGGATGGTACGACGTCGTTCGGATTCGTTTAATACCGAGAAATTCTGTAAGCTGCTGAAAGAGTCGACTTTCAAATTGTGCTCCTCTATCCGTTGTGATAATCGTTGGTACACCGTAGTAAGAAATCCAATTTTCAACTAGGGTTTTAGCTACCGTTTCAGCTGAGGTGTCTTTTATCGGCACTGCTACCGGCCATCGTGTAAACCTATCGATGCATGTAAAGATATAGTTGTATCCATTTGAAACGGGCAGTGGTCCTACAATATCGATGTGTATATGTTCAAATCTAGTGTCTGGGTGTGAAAACGGACCTACTGCAGAGCTAGTATGACGATGTACCTTAACTTTTTGGCACTTCATGCATGCTTGTGTCCAATTACGTACATCGTGATTCATGTTTGTCCATACGAATCGTTCACTAATCAGCTTTATCGTGGCTTTTATTCCTGGGTGCGACATGTTGTGCATGCTTTCGAATATTTTGTGTCGCAACGTTTTTGGGATAAATGGTCGCGGTCGGCCTGTTGATGTATCGCAAATTACTTTCGTGTTACCAAACTGCACCTCTTCGAGTACTAATGATGTTGAACCACCGGATCTGAGTTTATTTAGCTCGATGTCTCTCTCCTGCAACTTTGCTAGACCGTTATAATCAATTCCACTTGCCATAAGTGTGCTTATCGTTGCTCGTGACAATGCGTCAGCCACATCGTTTTCTTGTCCTTTAACGTACTGTATGTCGGACGTGAACTGTGAAATGAACTCTAGTTGTCGGATCTCTCTCGAGGAATAATTGTCTTGCTTTGCGCTTAATGCTTTCGTTAGCGGTTTGTGGTCTGTATAGACGGTAAAACTTATGCCTTCGACCATATGACGGAAGTGTTTTATTGCTAAGTAGATTGCTAACAATTCTCTTCCAAACGTACTATATCTCGTTTGGGTAGGATTTAATCTTTTCGAGAAAAATGAAAGTGGCTCCCATACACCGTTTACTAACTGCTGCAAAACGGCTCCTACTGCTAAGTTCGATGCGTCTGTCATTACTGCTAATGGTGCTTCGTTCTTTCGTCGTACCAACATCATCTTCTCGTTTAGCGCTCGCTTAGCGTTCTCGAAAGCCTGTATAGCATCCGCTGATAGACGGAATGTTCGAGTATGTCCTCGCAAGGCGTCCGTCAATGGCTGTACTATTGCTGCGCAGTTTGGGATAAATCGTCTATAATAGTTTATTAGCCCCAAGAATCTTCGTAATTTTCTTTGTGAATCGGGCAACGGATAATTACGAATAGCAGCAACTTCTGTCGGAACTGGCATGATACCATGTGAATTTATCATATGACCTAGGAATTGCAATGATTCCTTTCCAAATTCACACTTTTCCACGTTAATAGTGACGCCATGTTCTTGAAGTCTTGTAAACAACTGTCGTAGATGTTGTAGATGTTCTTCTCTGGTAGAGCTAGCTACTAGTATATCATCGATATATGCGTGAACTCCTGTCAAACCCCTGACGACCTGATCGATGAATCTTTGGAAGGTTTGGGCTGCATTGGTTAATCCGAAGGGCATTCGCAAAAACTCGAATAACCCAAATGGAGTAGTTATAGCCGTTTTAGATATATCTTCTGCCGCTACGGGAATATGGTAATAAGCTCGAACGAGATCGATTTTCGAAAATATCGTGGCACCTTCCATATTGGTAGTAATATCGTGGATATGTGGTATCGGATATCTGTCTGCTATCGTTTGCTTGTTAAGGGCTCTATAGTCTCCGCATGGCCTGATTTCCCCATTCTTCTTCGACACCATATGCAATGGGGACGCCCAGGGACTATTAGAAGGTCTTATGATACCAAGCTTCGTCAACTTTTCGAACTCTCGTTTCGCGACATCCAACCTTTTCGGGTCTAGCCTTCGTGGTCTTGATTTAGTCGGTGGACCTTTCGTTATAATATGGTGCTGTACCGTATGTTTAAGATCTCTGTTATCGTATGATACCCTCGTCAGATCGGCATACTCGTTTAGAAGCGATCTATATGGCTCGTTTTTGTCTTTTGACACTACTAAATTCATGGATGCGTGATCAGTCGTCACTCCTCTTATCACTACTGAATGGTCGCCGTTCACGAGCTGGTTTCGTCGGGTATCCACTAGTAAGTCAAAATTCTTTAAGAAATCAATACCGATTATAGGTACGGATACATCTGCGATAATGAATTCCCAGCGGAATGAGGTAGTACGACCGAAATTCAAGGTTACTTTTCGCTTGCCATATGTTTTTATATCGGATTTATTTGCTGCCTTAAGCGTTAGCGCTGTATCGATATTTCGTGTTTCGTTACTTACTGGGGGCACGACGCTTACTTCTGCTCCCGTATCCACTAAGAATTGAGCGCCTGTTACTCTATCCTGAACGTAAAATAAACGACTGTTTCTAGGAGCTGTTGTAGTTGTTGTGGCGGTTATCGACAATCGGTGTGTTCGTTTGAATTTACATGGTGATCTACAGTTTCGAGCTTTATCGCTGAAAGTTTGATGGTACCAACATATTATAGGAGCTGAGCGTCTCCTAGAACGTGATCGACTTCTTTCCCTCGATCTACTTCGTGACCATCCTCTTTGCGTATCGCTCTGATTTAGTTTCATCAGCTTGTGGCATAAAACATTAATCTCCTTTTGTAATGCATCGATTCGTCCATCTATTGTGGTACTATGCCCTTGCGGACTCGTTTGTTTCATTCTTTCATAAATCCTATCGGCTATTTTAACAATGTTGTCTATATCGACATCGCTGTCCTCAACCGCAAGGATCTGCTGCAAGTTCGCTGGGAGTCGTCGTAACCACAACTGATAAAATATGTTTTTATCTACTTTTCTGTCTCCGATTACGCTTCTCATATAGTTTTTTAACTGCGATGGAGTCCTATCTCCTATCTGCACTTGACTGAGAAGCTGTTCGATGGCTTGCCGGTCGCTTAATGAGACGGCTTTAATCACTGTCTGTTTTAATGCGTCGTATGACTTTTCTATGTCTGGCTTGATTAAAATCTCTCGTACGTTATCTGCTACTTCATCTGGAAGTAGCGAGCTCGCGTGGCCAAATTTATCTCGCTGTGTATGAACACGATTAGCTACAAAGTAATGTTCAAGTCCGGTAAACCAAAGTTGAGGATCTGTGACCTTAAAAGGAGGAATAGTTACATTAATGGACCTCACGGACGGCGTTTGGGAAAGTTCTATTGTATCGTTACTTAAAGACATATTTATAAAGATCAAAAGTACACGAATATAATGCGAATGTCACAGAGAAAAGTGAGTCGATAAAAACAATGATAAAAATAAATGGTACAATTTATAACAAAGAACGGACTTACTAAATTGCACCAAAATATCAATTGTTTGTAAAAATATCGTTGTTTATTATGAATATTATCGTTATGTTCAATAATGTTCGTGAGATAATGTACGTATAATTAAAATAATGAGATAATAAATCCACAGTTATAATTATAATCCAAATGATAGTTACAATTGTAATCGAATACGTTGGATTTTAGGAATTGGATTACGCCGTTCAAGATTGTTTCGTGTTCGCGCGTCGGGATCGCCAATTATGTGGTGGTCGGTATTTGATATAATCCTTAAACTTCGTATACTGTTCGTCGCGATAACCTTTCTATATAACGTACCAACGGTATATTAATCAGAAGGCAAATACGAAGTGTCGATTACGTTCATTGCGAAACCACACACATATATCCAAATGTACAGATGTGTTAAACAAGCATAGGAGAGTTGTGCCGAAAGGCAAGCAAGCGAACGAGAGCCAGAGCAAGAGCGTGACGAGACCGTGCGAGCGAGTGAGCGATTGTGTGTTCAATATGAATAACATGGACATATATATACCATGTGAAATGAATGAGTAATCGAATCGAATAAGCGGTTAGTGGTAAGATTAGCAGAGTGAATAAATGCGTAGGCAGTAATCAATATTCAAGCATACGTATTTCATACAAGCTCAAAATAATAATAAGGATACAATACATTGCTATAGCGCGGATGGCTTTGTCCGCTAAATAAGTTAACAAAAAGGGCTTAACTGGGTTAAATGAAAATAAACCCATTAACACGTGAGTCGCTATATGGTCTAGAGAGATTAAGCGTTCGCTCGCGAGACTTATAGCTCCTGATTTGGAATCTTGTGAGGCGAGATCATGAATGCGCACTGTTGAGGAGTCCTACAATAGGACGGAATGGTCGTCCAGCACTTCCAGGTATTCTATATTGCTCTAGCTTTAAGTAACCCATTATGTCAACCATTAAAATTAATTCAAAACACAATCAATCAATTAAAAAACAAACGAAACTTACATTAACAAAATCTGTTATACATTTATCAGGTATTTTATTATGTAATACATTTGGTTGTGTTTGAATTAAATCTTTTTTATTACCTAATATCATATAAATAGGTTTATGAATAATTTGATTTTGATTTTCTTTAGATGTATAATAATATTTTTCTAATTCACTTAATGTATCTTTTGACCAAATATCAAAGATAAGGATTATTCCATCAGATTTTTCATAAAAAGCACGACATGTTTTATGACCAATAAAATCATGAAGATTCAAACTGTTAATGATTCATTGTTGTCATGTGATTCATATTGGGGGTGGGGTGTAGGTGTGGGAGGGGGCGGTAAAGTGGGAAATGAAGTGAGAAAAAAACAGTAGCGATCAGTAGTGATCATTAAAGGAAAGTGTAAACAAACAAAAAGCAAACTTTTGAAGATTACTGTATTTGTGTGTATGGAAATCATTAAGAACGAAAGGATTTGAATTCGTTTTTTCAATGGTTCAGATATTAGTGTTTTTACAATTTACTGTCAAAGATGTAGTGTTGCATATATTTACAATAGGAGTATCCTTTATCTTACAGAATACACAAAGATTATCAAAGATTTGTGGTAGAATTAAGATAAAAATTGCTTGTAGAGGTACCTCCCCAAAGTTTTGTTTTAGAACAGCTTGTGAATTAACTTTTGGTGAGAACACGGTAACTGTTTATAGATTGTTGTCTTAATTAAAGGGTAACTGAATCGAATATCTTGTATAAAAGAGCTTTCTCTCTCTCTTCATGTTTATATATACTCATTTCATCTTTTGCTACTAGTCAAAAATGAAATAAAATTGTCATTTTTATCAATTATCCATTCTATAGCAATTATTCACCTGTAAACTGTTGCATATTTCCGGGAACGATTTTCACCTGGTCCTCTCTACATAAGAGGTAGATTCCGAATTATAACTATAGGAGTTATTTGTTTGACAACTTTTTAGAAATATACATTTACAACATCACTGAAGATCGAAATTGCATCTTCAAGACCGTCAAGGCACAAGGCACTGAAATAGATGATCTGATACTCAATATTTCACAATTTCAATAGTCTAATTTGAAATCCCGATCAATGTTTTGGGAGCACACTCTCATAAAGTCCCTATGTAGGTGAAAACAACTGTCAAGTGATAACTGACTTTAAATGGTTTTCTACCTAAAATCAATTTGCAATTGTCTGATCCTGAATAATTTGATGGATCTTAGCATGTCTCTGTTTACTTACTAAAAAACTGGGCCCCTAAAAGTTAATCAAATTCATCTTGCTTTTTAGATCGTCACTTCAAGTTACTTGAATCAATAATATGAATATGAATTAATCTTCTGTAAATCTAAAGACTTTAATCAGACAGAACAATGTTTTAAACAGTGATCGTAAATATGCTTATGAAGACTGCATTAAACAATTAAAAAATTATAGGAAATTTGTGGACATTGTAGAGTTTTTACTGTTTATATCATGAATTGATCTTAACTAGACCACCATCTTTGGGTGTAAGACAGTTTATTTACCATAGTCTATGAATGAGGATTGTACAGCATCATGAACTGATTAAAGCTAGACATTAACAGTGTTAGATTCCTACTCAGTGGTCTAGAGCTTAATCATTCGCGTGTAAAGTTATAGGTTCTGAGTTCGAAAAACCGGATGTAGGACCGTGGATACACACTACAGATGATTCCTTTATTACAATGAAATGGTTGTCCATTACTTCTAAACTTTTGAATGATTGTGTCTAACTTAGATTGATTTAAACTGTGAAAATGAAAAAAAATATGTTTACTTACAAATCAATAGTAGGAGGTTTCATAAATTGAATTAAATAATTTACATCATCTAATTTACGTTGATAAATTACAATTTTTATTTCATAAGATGAAGATATTGTAATGTTATTCTTCTTTTCATCTAGATCCAAAGGTTGTTCAAAACTATTTGATGATAGCCTGTTCAATAAAGCTTGTTTACCAACACCAAGACTGCCAATCAATAATACTTTGAATATTAATGATTTTGAATCATTCAGCTAACAAAATGCCAAATTTTTTTTTATTAGAATAGAAGAAAACCAGAAAGAGAAATTTGCAAGTTTTTCAATGTAATTAAAAAATAACAAATAGAGAAAACATTATAACTGATTTCAGGGGCTGGTATAATACAAACTGTATGTATGGTGCTGTATGAATATAGCGCTATTCATTGGTTATAAATGAATTTAGTTTAGATAAAAAGATATGCTTTCAAAATAATAACGGAACATAGAGATGTTTCCAAACTTATGATCTTTGTCTGTAGACTTTAAATGGAAGTGTTTTTCATGGAAAAGTTTCAACGATATTCCACAGTAAATTGAAAATAATGACAACTTGACCAAAGGTAATTTCAAACTTATTGGATTGGTTGAAGTTAGAGATTAACACCGTTGGGCGCCCACTGGCTCAGTGGTCTAGAGTTTAAGTGTTTGTGAGCGGGACCGAAGATCCTGAGTTCGAATCCAGATCGTGGTATCGTGAATGCGCACTGCTGAGGAATACCATAATAGGACTACATACACCTGAGGAAACGAGTTTTCTTTAGATTATCAGTGATAAATATACTTAAGTATTTATCAATTAAATTGTTTATTAGATAATCACATAATTAAGTAACTTAACACATTTGCTTTAAGGCTGTTTTTCAGGTAAAGAGATCTTATTTGTGATT